CCAGGAGAGAGGGAGGGGGTCTGTGCCACAGGGTTCCAAGTGTCGTCTGTGTGTGTGTGTGTGAGTCTTAACTTTACAAAAGAATGGATTCTAGGAGATAAAAAACAAAACTGTTCAACTACTGGACTCACTAAGAAAGTTGGAGAGAAGCTTTAAAAAAAGATGGGTGGGGGGAATAACGTTTAAGCAATCATAAGAATTCTAATTTCTACCTCAGAACCAGAATGTTGGTATGAAGGTGCCAAATTGCTACACCAAAGTGTACTCTGGGCCTTCTCTCCTGCTTTACTCCAATTAGCCAAAGCTTGGTCACATGGCATGGGTGGGATGGAGCACTGGGAAAGCCAGCAGCCAGTAGGAGGTGGGCCTTACCGGGGTTTTTTGGGGGTTTTTTTGGAGACAGAGCCTCAAGCTATTGCCCTGGGTAGAGTGCCATGGCATTAAAGCTCACAGCAACCTCCAACTCCTGGGCTTAAGCGATTCTCCTGCCTCACCCTCCCAAGTAATTGGGACTACAGGCACCTGCCACGATGCCCGGCTATTTTTTGGTTGTATTGTTTGACAGGCCCGGGCTGTATTTGAATCCGCCAGCTCTGGTGTATGTGGCTGGTGCCTTGGCCGCTTGAGCTATAGGAAGGCCTTATGTTCTATCTTGATTTGTGGTGGGGAGTTCACAAGGATAGGAAGGGGAGTTATGGGATTACAGGTGTGAGCGACCACACTTTGCCTGTTTTTTTTTTGTTTTTTGTAACATTTTTATTGAGATACGATTCACATGCTATACAGTTTACCCATCCAAAGTATACAGTATTTTGGCCAGATGTGGTACCTCATGCCTGTAAATCCTAGCACTTTGGGAGGCTGAGGCAGGAGGATGGCTTGAGATTATCTGGGAAACATAGTAAGAATCCATCTCTACAAAGACTATAAAACTTAGCTGGGCATAGTGGCACATAAAGTCCCAGCTATTCAGGTTTAGGCCAGAGGGATGCTTGAGCCCAGGACCAATACTACAAAGCACAATTCCTCTGTCACTTGCTCACCACCCTACCCCCTGCCCTCTGCTTTGTGGCCTTACCCTAAACAGCCTGACTCCTAGGCCCTGGCCTCTTTTCCTCTATAGACTATTCTAAATCTCAGCACTGGATGGTGCTCAGTACCCTGTTTGGCCTCTGTGCCTGCCCTTACCACCTGACTCTTACCCCTCCTTTCTTCTATAGCTTTTCCCTTGTCACCCTAGGAATGCCTCGGTCATCCCTCCTTCCCCCCCCCCACCCAGAGGTCCTTCCAAGAGGCAGAGCTCCATCCCTGGCACAGAGTGCCTGCCCTGACTTGCCCTGCCTCAGTGTGGGTGGGGCCAAGGGAGCCAATCATAGCAGCTCAAGCAAACCCCCACAGTGGCAGGGGCTTGCCTAGAGGGCTTGTTGGGGGGTAGGAGTTTGAGGACACTGCAGCTCTGAAGGCCCAGAGGAAGGGTAGAGGCATTGGAGTAGAAGAAGGGCAAAGTAGAAGAGCTGGTAGGAAGAACTGAAGAACTGTCCTGCATTTCCTTCTGAGCTGCTTCCAACCCAGATCCTAAATGAACATATGGAATACCCATTCAGGTTTCTGGGTGCTTGCTGTGGCCCCAAAGTGTTTTATTTCACCATCATTATCAGCCTTATTTAGGGAAGGTGCCAGTGAATCAAAATCAGTGCTGAGTGTGGTGGTCAAAATAGGGACTCACTGGTAAGGCCTTGACCATATCAAATGCTTCCACACCTGTTACTCATCAGAGTCCCACTGGACTAATTCCACAAACAAGGGAAATGAAACCCTGCTTGATAATCCGCACCAGTTATAAATCATCTGGTGAGCAGCTGACATGGGCAAGGGTCTCCAGCCTGCCAGGTAAAAGGGCTTCTGACTGCATACCCTCTAAGAAGGGGCTGATGAAATCATCCTGGTCCACTGAATCCCCTTGCCTAGAAGGGGATCTAAGTCACACTTGACTCCCGCTACCTTTCCCCCAGTCTATGAGCCTCATGCTAACAAGATTCTTGGTATGTCATAAGACAGACAGTACCAGGGGGCTCCTTCCCCCATTTCAGCCAGGAAAACCCCTCCCCCTTCCCTGTTCACATCTCTAGCAATTGCCAAACACATACAGGTCATATAATCAAACTCCTGTGTTTTATTTCTGTAGAAAGCCCCAGCCCTACCTCCTCTAGACCCCATCTTCAGGGCTACCGGAACGTGGAGAAGCTCTGGGTGCCAGTGCAGGAGGCATAGGGCACACCCCGAGAGCGAATCTGCAGGGTGTGGAAGGTGAGGGGTGGGTTGGGGCCTGAACAGCCTGGGTTCAGGGACTCAGTGTGAGGCTCCATTACAGTCACAGGGACTGCATAGGACAGCATCTGAGGCCGGTCATCACGGCGTCTCAGTGTGCCCTTGCCCAAGAGATGCAAGATGCAGGAGAAGACGTCAGTGCTGCTGCAGGCAGACCCCCTACCAAGGCTGTTGACCAAACCCCTGGAAGGACATGGACCCTTCTGCCAAGCCTCCAGCACCTGGTATGGGAGAGGAAAGGGTTACAGTAGGTCAGCGGCACCAAGCTTACCCATCTCTAGCTTCTATTCGCTCACAAGCAGCTGGGACAGAAAACCCCAAGGACATTAAGAGCACCCTGACCTCACTCCTCACACCCACAGGCTGCAAAAAGAACCACATACTTCAAATGTGGACCCACCTTCTCCTATGGACCACTCCTGCTCCCTCTGACCCCACTACAAGGCCTCCTAACCTACTGTGCCCACCCCCACCTACCAGACAGACAAGCTGGTCAATGTGCAGCCCCTCATCCCCATGAGCCTTGAGGATTCGGACAATGAGACAGTTCAGAAGGTTCCGTCTCTTCTCCAAGTTCCGGCCCTCTTCATCTTCAGCTTTCAGGTATGTCTGAGGTGGGATGAGCCACACATTGCCCCTCCTTGGCCTGGGTTCCTCACTGCCATCTCGAATCTTGAGCACCCCTGAAATAAATGCTGTTTGCTCAGTGGATGCCCATGAGGAGCCTGATCCCAGCTCAGAGCAGAGGGCCCTCTGACTCTAAGTGCCTACCCCCTGGTACATCCTTTGGCTCATGAAGGTCCAGGGGGCCCCTTGCAGAGGTGAGAGGTGCAATCGCCTGATTCAGCATGTCTGGAGAGAGCCCCGAGAGCTCCAGCAGACTCTCCACAGAGACCACCTTAAGAGATGATGGAAAACATTCAGGACCCCCAAAGAAGTGGAGCAGAGAGATGGAGGGGAGGATAGGGAGGTGGGGGTTAGGGAAGAACAGTGAGGGACAAAGTGCAAAAAGGCAGAAAGGCTAGGCCACCTTCAGATCATTGAGATACAGTAGTAGCCACATCTGCACAGTGGACACATGCAGGGTCTGGTCCCCAAACTGCAGTTCAGCCCGGCCCAGCCACGTCCACTGCAGTCGCCTCTGTGAGCCTTGCTCTAGGGTAGGGTGTCTCTGACCTGGAGAAGAATCAGGGAAGAGGAGGAGGCAGGGAAAGGAGGTACAGTCAGGGATTGGGTGGGGCCACACCACTGGTCAGGCTCACCCCTTATCTCTGCAGAGTGTGCAGCCCCAGCATTTACAGACACTGTGGCTTTTGGTCTGAGCTTCCAGATCTCAGCTTTTTCTGTGCATACCTCCTTGGCAGGCCTAAAGCACTTGGCAGCCACCCTGGACCTAGGCTTTTGTTAGTAAGACTCTAATCAGTGCCTTTGAGGACTGCCCTGTTTTATTTATTTATTTATTTATTTATTTTGCAGTTTTTAGCTGGGGCTGGGTTTGAACCCGCCACCTCTGGTATATGGAGCTGGTGCCCTACTCCTTTGAGTCACAGGTGCCACCCCGCCCTATTTTATTTTTTAGGGAGACAAAATCATGAACGGATGAAGGAACTGGGGTTCTCATCAAACTGGAAAATGATGAGAAAGGGAATAATATCCTTTGTTAGTCTGGGAGTCCTCCCCTGAGGGTAGGGTCTGAGTCTCTTCCCCCTCCTTTGTTGCTACCCAGCCAAGGATCAGCCCCCAGTGGAGAGTTTAGGTTACAGGTGACTGACCAGGCAGAAGCCAGATATCTGCCAAGTGAAAGCACTTTTTGGTGGCCTTGGGTGCATCCTGCCTCCATCCTCTCCATTACCCACAAATAGATTCCAGGGTCTTAGTTAAGGATAGAAAAGGCAACCATCTGGGGATCTGGTGTCAGATAGCACTTGGCACCCCCCTTAACCTGAGCTCTTGCCCATTCTTTTCAAATCCACCATCCCTTTTCACATCAAAGCTCCCAGCCCAAGGTCTACCCACAATACCATGTCCATTCCCAGTAGCCCATCTGTTCCCCATTCCCTTCTGTCTGGCTGCTCACTCTTGCTGTAGAAGTTGGAGTATCGGTTCAAAGTGCCCCTTAGGTAGGGGGGCAGGCAGGTTCTTGGGTTCAGCGTATGGCAGATTGAAGCAATAGGCCAACAGCGTGGGGACAGGACGAGCACAGATACTTCTGGCATTGTCCCTTCGTAGTAGAGGTCCTCATTCTCCTCCTCCTCTTCCTCTCCCTCCACCAGGCCCATCGCTGCTGCTGCCCCAGCTTCCTCATCCTTCTCGCTCTCATGTTCCTCACCGCCAGTCTCCTGGCCCACCTGGAGGGGCATAAGGTTCCCAGGTGCCATGGCCTCCCCCAGTCTGCTCTTCTTCCCTTCCTTCCTATCTGCCCATTTGCTCATTCCTTCCAAGGTACCCACTTGTATTTTCTTCTCTGTATCCTCCAACTTTAGGAGTTCCTGATCGAGCCGCTGGAGCTGATAGACATGGAACTGGCGCTGCAGCTCCTCAGAGGTGCTCAGGCTCCGTAACATCTGCTGGGGCAGGCGGTTGGGGAAGCAGGGACCAATCTGCTCCAGCACGGCCCCCTCCAGCCAGCTCGAGCCCACACCCAGGAGACGGTCTGCCATGTAGTGCCTGCAGCACATAGCCCGGGCCACGGCTTAGTGTGGGTGCCAGTTTGGCTCAGCCTCCCATTCCAGGGCTCCAGCCTGCCTATATCTTGGACTCCAGGCCCCATGAGCTGGCCCTACCCCTGCCACTCTGCCCCACCAACCCAGCTGCTCCCATTATCCAGGTCCACACTCACTGGTAGTAATGCTCAAAGGTGGTGGCTATCTCCAGGCCACAGAATATGAGAACTGCTTCTAGGCAGCGCTGCAGTTGAGCCAACATCTCCATTCCTCGAGCTCCACCAATCCGGCTGCCCTGAATCCGCTGGTCAATGTGCCGGGCAAACTGCTCGCTCACCTGGGCATCAGCAGAGCATAGGAAAACCATGAACAAGCACCCAGAACAGGTGAGTGGGAGCAGTGAGGAGGGTCTGCAAAGTAGATGTGAATGGCTGGTAGCTGTCTAAGTTGGTCAATGCTTTCTTTTTTCAATTTTTTTTCTATTTTTTATTTGTAAATAATCATGGGTACAAGTACAATTTTGCTACACTGATATACTGCAGTGTAATGAAGTCAGACTGTAGCATATACATCACTGAAGCAAGGTATGTTGTGCCCACCTGGTACTATTTTATACAGTCATTAACATTTGTGCACATTAGGAATATTAACAATTATGGAAACTTTTTTCACATTAACTGGGTCTAAAAATTAAGCTAATAAAAATCATTTACAATGAGAAAAGAATGCTGAGTATGGTGGCTCACGCCTGTAATCCTAGCACTCTGGGAAGTTAAGGCAGGTGGACTGCCTGAGCTCAGGAATTTGAGACCAGCCTGAGCAAGAGCAAGACCCTGTCTCTAAAAATAGCAGGGTGTTGTGGTGGGCACCTGTAGTCCTAGCTACTTGGGAGGCTGAGGCAAGAGAAGGGCTTGAGCCCAAGAGTTTGAGGTTGCTGTGAGCTGTGACACCATAGCAGTCGACCATCTGTCTCAAAAATAAATAAATAAATAAAACGAGAAAGGAAGTTATGTGTATGAAAATAGTCACTCTGAGGTGTTACTAGTAAAATAGGACTAGAAGGGATTCAAGTAGCCAGGGCTTCATGCTCCTGCTGCACTGTCCCTTGCTTACAGGGTACTTATCACATTTTAGTTTATCGTTGGCTTAACTGCATCTTCTCCAGAAGACTGTAAACTTTAAAGGGGAGGGGCTCTGCCTATCTTGCTAGCCATTCTATCTTGAGCTCTTATCACAATGCCTGACACATTTTAAGTGCTCATTAAATATTTGTTGAAAGAATGGGAATAGTGAAATAAATCACAGTATATCCCTAGATGATATTTGTGCAAAAATAAAAAAAGAGGACAAATACCAACACTAAAAAAGGTTTCTAATATAACAGTCAAAAGAAAAATAGGACAGAGTATTGTGGCTACTTGTAAGTAAACTATTCAAGCATGCTAATCATGAAAATATACGTATTAGGATGGTTCACTGCAGGCCACTATTTTTTTTTTCTTTTTTCTCTTTTTCAAGTTTTTGATAGCATGGCCATATACAAACATATGCTCATCAGAAAACTAGAACAAAAGGATGAGGAAGGGAGAGTTTATGGAGAGAGACCCAGGGGTGAGGTGAGGGTGTTGACTTACGTGGGCAGCTCTGAGAAAAGGGAGCTTCAGTAAGGCCCCTGCACAGCCATTCTGCAGCGCCAGCAAGAAGGCTGCCCGTGGCCCAAACAGCTCAGAGCTTGACTTTTGCAGACTATTAAAGCGCTCACAATAGCGTGGTACAAAGTCATCATCCCGCCAAGATGACGTCAGAAAATTGTTCACCTGGAAGGAAGGTACAGGAACATGAAGAGGCTGACGCCCAACACACCACCACAATAGCATCCCTTCTCTCCCCACACATGTTCCCGCCCACCTGCTCCTCCACCACAGAACGCCAACAGCGGGTTAGGTTTCTCATGATGCTGCTTGGAAGGCCCCGGGTAGCCAAGGAGCTCCAGTCGTGACTTCTGTTTCTGCCCTCTATAGAGACAGAGAAAGTGGCAGAAGCAAGGAGCAGCCCATTGGCTCCCACATCCCCATCGAAGGGTGAGTTCTGATGCCTTTCCTGACATGCTGCCACCCAAAATGATGTTCCTGGATAGGGGTGACACAAACCTGGCTAAGCACACAGGGAGGGGAAGGGTGAGGATAGACAGGAGCCTGTAGCATTCGAGAGGGGGCCCAGGCAAAAGTTCCTACCTAGAGCTCCCACCTGAATCCCCAGTACTCACTGGGCCGAGGAGTGGTCACCACTGGAGGGGACACCTCACAGGGCTCAACATGCACTAACAGGTGCGTGAGGCGGCGCACCCGTGAGGAGAAGGCTGCTGCACGGCTCTGGGGGTTGTGTGCAGCTTCACGACACTCCAAATATTGGTCCAGCAGCCAGCCCAGGGGGCTGATGCCATCCTCATCTAGAGATTAAGACAAACAAACCAAGGCATAGTATGTCTTCAGTGGGAGAGGTGGAGCTGGCTGGGAATGCAGAGAAAAAGCCACTGGACAGAGTGATAGGTGGGGGTTGTCAAGGGCCCTCTTGATCTTACAGTGTCAGCTGGTACTTGGGAGACATGGGGACGGGAGCAGTCCCTAGGCTGTGGGAAGAGGACACTAGGGTTATGAATGCAGGACAAGGATCAAAAACATAACCCAGGTGATTCTTAGGTAGGGCAAGGAACAGATTAGTGGGGCCAAGCAATGGGAAGGTAAAGGGACCAGGTGCCAGGACGGTTACCAGGGGAGGTGATGTTCTGCACCAGAGGGCTGACCAGGGCCTCCCAGCAGGTCTTGCCCAGAGCTCGGGCAGCCTCATCATCAGGAAGGAAGCAATCAGCAAAATTCTGCTCCTGGCGCAGAGCCCCATTGAGTCTAGGGATGTGGATGGGAGGAGAAATGTGTCAGAGGCTTGATGCTTAAGTTACCTGAGTGTCCACCTGGCTTAAGATTGCCAGCAGGCCCCTACCATCCAGACCAAAGCCCTGCCCTGTGCTAATGGTATATGTCATTCTCAGCCTGCCAGAGAAATCTCTTCCCTTTATCCTTCCTTCCCCTCCCCACACCTCAGAACACTCCCCCTCACCAAGAGCATTAAATGTCCATCTTACAGCCTCCAGAGACCCTTGCCCGGCAGCCACCTGCAACAACAGCCTACCTTTCCTACAGATACAGGCACACACACTTTTACACACCTAGAACTCAGGTGCAAGAGACTCCTGCGGTCCTCTGCCATGTCCTGACTCCAGGCCTGTGCCCGAACCATGTAGAAGAGGCGTGTGTGACGACACAACTGCTCCCGAAACACTGGCCAGAATGTGGGCTTGGGGCCCAAGATCTCCAACCCCCGAATGCGCGTATCAATGCCGCCCTAAAACACACACAAGCCTGTTTTCACTTGCTACATACCATCCTCATGATGACCTGGGGTGAACTATGCCCTTGAACCTCATCCCTGGAACTACCCAAGACCCAGGACCATACCCCACACTCCTGGCCCCACCTGCTGGCAGCGCTTTATGCGGATCTGGATGATGGGCCAGAAGTGGTTCAGGTTCTCCAGGAGGATCACTCGGCTGGCAGAGGGCATCACATTCACCTGGCAGGGGGTACAGAAAACTCTCACCTCCACACATGTGGATAGGAGTACTGAGAATATCCAAGTCCCCTTGCTGTACCCCTCCCTTCCCCAGTCCCAGGACATGTAGGGTCCTAATCAAGGAAGGGGGTCTGGATGCCACCCTTGCCATTCAGGACACATAGGCACAGAAATAAAAGATTCTTTCTGTGGGGCTCAAGACAGGTAGGTGTTTAGGTGTTAGGAGTCTGGGCAGGAGGGTAGATCCTGTAAGGACTGGTCTCATCGCACAGGGACCCCTACCGAGTTGACTTCTGTGTTAAGAGAGTTGATGCTGTCACCCGCATACACCACTACCCGGGCTGGCATGTAGCTTGCGTCCTCACTGGCTACCAGCAGAGTTAACTGCCTGGAAGTGTAGAAAAGGAACCAGTCAGAACTGTAATCTGTCGTGTCCTTTCAGACAAAGCTCAGGGGTTGTGCTTCCCCAAAGGCAAATATAGAAAGCAAGAGAAAGCCTAGATGTGTGGAAGTGTGTTTACCTGACGAGGACACCCTGGCGCATGTGCAGGGTGATGTAATGGGAGCCAGTGCTGCCGTTGGACTCCCAGTAGGTCTTAGGGTTGCGGTCCGTCAGCTTGCTGGCCCGGTGTGGGTTGGAAGACACCTCCACCTTCTCCCAGCACTTGTCCTCCTTCACTTCCACACTGGAGCCTGGGGACAAGTGGGAAAGGGTGGAGGTCACAGTCTGGTAGGGTGTAGAGGGGAAACAGACCTTGGGTGGAGATATGGAGCAATGGGAAAACAGGCACAAACCCTGGCACAGATATCTGAGGAACACATCAAAGAAAGGGATGTTGATGGGCCGGTGGGTTCGTCTGTGGTCTTCGATCTGGCCTAGCACCATCTGTAGCCGGAACATCAGAGAGAAGATGCACAGGGAGAAGGGGACACAGAAAGATAGAGAAACATGTGGAAGGAAGACCAGGCACTGGTGGAACTTCCTCCATAACACCAGCAGAGCAGGCCCAGATGAGGAGGAGTGGTGGCGAATGAATACCCCAGGCTTGCTAGTGTCACCTGCTGTTCCCAGCTGTAGCAACATGGCCCCTTCCCTGCCACTGCTTAGGCTGAAGATTCTGATGTAGCTCCAAGCCCACAAGCTTCACCCTGCCCTTCCTCCTGACCTGGATGCAGCCTCCAAGGATGTTGGTTGTAAGTTTCCGGTAGAGGTGTGCATGCTTCTCACACTTGAACACCATGTCCCGCAGCTCCTGGGCCAGCTCCAGCTTTCCCAGGTGCTTTTCCAGGGCCTTGGAGATGGCATCTCGGGCTCCCAGCTGATTCAGCACCACGGCATAGTCCCTGCTCACTGATGTCAGGCGGTGCAGGAAAAAAATCAGTTCCTGGAGCACCTGGGGTGGGGAGGAAAAGGGGGAGGTTAATAAAGGGGATAGGGCATGGGCCATAAGGGTATCTGTTGTAGAATATACCCAGGATGCTGCAGTGAATAAGATAGCATGAGGAAATAAAAAGATAGGGACAGAGACACAAGAGCCAGGTGGAGTTATAAAACCAAAGACAAATTGAAATGGCAAGAGCCAAGAAATGCCTTGCCACCTGCATTTCTAGACTACTGAGTCTGTTGACAACAGGTGCAAAGAACATCCCTGGGTTCTTTCATTCAGGCCCAGCTGTCTCAAGAACTAGTTGTGGTTTGGGAGGCTGAGGTGGGTGTATCGGCATGAGCTCACAAGTTCAAGACCAGCCTGAGCTAGAGTGAGACCCCCATCTTTTTTTTTTT